CTTCTTTGGGGAACTTGCTGGCAGGACAGAAATGTCTGCCCACGGTGGGGCATGTTTATAATCACATTACTTCTGAGCTTGAAGCAAGACAATTTTATATCTGAGGTCTTCCAGTACTTTATGGTGACTTACTTTTATACAGCCACCAACAGAGATGGGGTTAAGTTGCGATGTAAGAAAAGTTCTCATGCCTGATTACCTGACACTGATTGACTGAATGCCTTATCATCTTGGCTTCTACTTGCAAACTGTTTACGTTTGCTTAGGGACAAGCATTTTCCAGGAACTTTCACATAAGTTTAGAGTATCAATACATATCCCTCAAGGTTGAGGCATAAAAACAAAATGAAGGGAATCTTAACCATCTTTATAGAAAATTGATATTACGTGTATTTCATTTATCTAAGAATTTCACCTTCTGGTTAGGTGAAATTCTGCTAAAAATGTTTGTATTTACCAAAAGAATTAAGAAAGTTCCTTAAATGATCTCTGATAAAGAAATAAGGGATTTCCTCACTTTTTATCTGTCTTTTTTTTTCTAATCTAATATGACACACACAGAACTCATGGACACCTTTCTAATTATCTTAAAAAAAAAACAGAGATAGTTCTTAGCCTAACTACTTGCGGGTGGACATATGCACAGTTTTCTGCCAGAAATCTGACTCACAAAATTTCTCCGACTCACCCTGAAGGGTACTTGTCTGTGATGGGAAGGGAGTATCTTGGGGCAGGAACTATTATATTTTTATAACATCTCTACTCAACTAAAGCTATGACAACAGAGACAACTACTTTCGACTATCTTATAAGGACCAAGCTAAGACAATGTTGAGTCGGATTATAGCTTGACCAGGATTTATCTATACTTCAAACCTCTTGCCCAATTCTTTGTCTGTTTAAATACAAAGGGCTCAATGATGATCTGAAGATGAACTTTGGATTACTGGGTCCTGCTTTTGATTGTTTTATTCATAGGACCCTAACCCCTTATTCACAAAGGGCAAGAAAAAATTTCCTAGCAGAATGTTTTCCCAAGAAGATAGTGGTCTTCCCCTCTCCCACTGGAGATTCCGAGCACAAGGTCACTTAGCTGAGCCCAGCAAGCCATCTGGTAGAGTCTGATAAAGATGGCCTAACTGAGAAACAGTGGGCTTGCTCTAAGAACAAGGGAAAAGCAGACTTAGCAGGATGGGAGAGAGTAAAAGTCCTTGCACCCATGCCAAAGCAACTTCAAAGAGTCTCTTTGTAGTTATGCCTTTAAAAGCCTACCCCACAGATGAGATACAATTCCTCTCTAACTTACTATAAGATGAGTTCCAAACATGTTTGTATTATGCTGATTAAACCTTGCTTATTACAATTTGGGCCTCTTTGGTGGTCTCTCTCTGGGGGTCGTAATCTGGGTACAACATTATTCAGTGTACTTGATTAAATCTCCTTTCTCTGCTTTTCACCATTCCTCAGTTCATACAGGGAGCTTCCATTGTCAAACTGACACAGTTGATATAAAGGAACCCTAGAGGAGTGATTACCCCATGGATCATGTCTGTGAGGCATTTTCTTCATTGTTAACTGATGTAGGTAGGCCTAGTTCACTCTGGGTGGTGTCTTTACTCAGAAGGTAGACCTGGTTGTATAATAAAGCAAACTGGATAAGCTAGGGAAAGCAAGCCAGGAGATAGTGATCCTCATTGTCCTGCCTTGTGCTCCTTCCGTACTGCCTGCACAAACAGACTACAACCTTTAAACTGAAGCAAAGTGTTTCCTATGCCCAGATTGCTTTGGCACAAGGTGTTCATAACAACAACAGTAACACAAATTAAACATCTTGTCTCTTAACTGGCATATAGGGTCCAAACCTAGCCTGTTAAGCTGTTAGAGACTGCGATTTTGCCCTAGACTCCCTGGGCTAACATTAATCACCACAGTTAGAATTCACATTTGTAAAGTAGTTTCTCCAGCAGAGGGATATAGATCACAGACTATTTGCTGAGGATTTGACTTTCACACTCTGTCACTGTGAGTGATTCATATCCTTTATTATGGTACTTTTAAATTTCTTTCTCTTTGTTTTGCTGGAGAACACAGGAGTCTTTTTGTTGGCTCTTAGATTTGCAGAATTTAATTGAAGGTCAATTTTATTAGCTTTAGCAAATAAAACAACAGACAGGTAAGACAGATACTTCAGCAGTGATTCTGATATGTCAGAATCACTGAAGTCCTCAGGCAAGCCTTAGAACTTTGTCAGTTGGCAGCACCATGGGAGTTGGGTAAGATGTTTTCAGAGTGAGCATGGAATTCTGAGAAGTGAAAGAGAATTTAGGATTTGATCTGATGTTAGAAAAAATTTAATAGAAGTGGGGGAAGAAAAAAATATAATTTTACTCTACAAGTTGGCAGCTTTCTTGGTGAAGATGTTTAAGCCAACATAAGGAACCAACGTAAGTCTGGACAGAGAGAAAAAAAACCTCTCACTTAACTAGAAAGAGAGCAAACAGTAGGGGAGTCAGCTGATGGCATACGGAGCAATTAAAGAAATATGAAGATTTAGAAAAATTAGAAAAAAAATAGAAAGTTAAAAGCAAATTCAGACTGAGTGAAGAAACTGAGAGTTTAGAAGGTGAAACTACTCAGAGGTCAAGATCATGACGTTGACTAAGAGTGAGGGTAAGATAGTCAAAGGAACTTCAGTTGGTACATCAGTGTTAGAGTAGACTTAGCACCCTAATCCACATTGGTGACAATAATCCACATTAAACTGGCAACAAAACCCTGTGAGCAATGCAGAAGAGTGACCAAGAACTCGTGAGTAACACTACAAAATCGATGTGCTAAGTCTTACATAACTTGGTCATTTATTTGTATGGAGATACATTTTACACTGTAGCAATCTACAGATACTTTGTATTCATTATGTGAGACTAAGATATCTTTATTAGCATGGGATTATGAGTTCATAAATCAATTTACAAACAGACAATTTTTCCCTGGAACCTATTGTTATGTATATGTTGAAATAATGACTATGTCTCCATAGGACCCAGAAAAAGAAAGAAAAAAGGAAATCATATAAAAATAATTTTTTATCAGTTCTTGTAAAATTCTGTTGGAATTTATTCACCCTAAATGCCATAAAAATTATACAACTTCTAAAATAGCCAATTTTTTATTTTTTATTTTTGATTCTGGGATTAAAATGATAACATTTCCCTCTTCTCTTTGTTACTCCAAATCCTCCTCTATACCCCTTTGGTCTCTTTCAAATCAATGACCTTAACTACTTTAATTGCTAAGAGATATCTTTCTAAATATATTAACACAAGCTTCTCAGTCCCTGTAAGGTTACTTGTACAAATGTGATTTCAGGACTGATCACTTGGAATTGGATGACCATTTGTTATACTCTTTCCTGAAAAAGACTATTTGTCCTGTTCTTAGAATTCGTAGTTGGCTATAACTCTTTGTATAGGATTGTGCTCTTCTTTAAGAAAGATAAAACTCATCCTTGAGGGACCTTACATTGTTTATTTGCTCATTCATTCATTCATTCATTCACACATGAATATATACAGGCTTGTATCCATCAGCCAGGTACTCAGAGAAGAACTGTTTTGTGCCAGTTTTCTGTAATATGTCTTCTCTAAATAACTCTGGTCAGTTAGCTTTAAGTGATTAATTAACACTTCTCAATAATACAAAGATGTATTATTATCTTGGAATCACATAATCTATTCAAAGGGAAGATAATAAAGATTAAACCAATCACGACAGAATTAAACACAGGGCATTGGAAGTAAAATAGCACATTTAGCTTGAAACTTTCATCTCTAAAAGATATAATTAGCTTTTGCAAAGCATGTAATGGGAAAAAGTATGTTTTTTCTTATTTTATTTACTGACTGTGGATCTCAGGATTGAATTAATTCCTTCTTTATTTCTCTAAAGAAATGAATTGCTTATAAAGGTTGTATTTTCAATATGTCTTACATTAGTTTTCAATGCAATATTCAAGACAGTCAAATTAGCTGTATTCTACATGAGCTGCCACATTGTAAGAACTTTACAGTGTATAGTATATTCCTCCTGTTTGAGGTAAATTTTTTTTTGTGCAAATTCAGGATATATATTTCTGGGTGTGGTAGTGTGAAAGATTCTTTACACGTCTAGTTGCTACTTTGCCATTTCAGGGTAAGTTAGTTCATTTTTCAAAATTTTATTGGTGAGGGAAACTGAATTCCAAATAGGTTAGGAAGACATTAGGTCATAAAGTTAGTGATGTCAGGGGAGGGAGGCTCTAAGTGGACGAGGTGCCAAATGGACTTTGCTGCTCTCTGTAATAGGGTAAGTTTTTCGAATTTTCTGCTCTGTCACATGAACCTGGCAGCTATATGACTCATGGTTATAGTAATAATGTTTAATATATATTATATTGATTATATATTAAAATACCAAATAAAATAAATTAATATATATTAAAATACCAAATTTTTAAGACATAATATATTTTTTATCTTCATAGCAAAATCATGATATTTTAGTATATTTAAGTTACAAGTAGTTTGAAAGTGCTATATTGAGGTTTAGAGAAGAAAAGTCCTGAAAAATCATAGATCAAAATGTGACTGCAGTTGGGACTCACCCCTAAGTTACTACCTGTGAATTCTGAATTCAATCTATAAACAGAGATATTTAGATGTCATTGTCATTGCTACCAATGAAGGTATGAAGGTGAAGGGAAGAGAACGGTGAAACTGTTGAGAAGATTTGAATTACTGTAATAATTCAGTAGGTCACACATTTCTTTTTTCAAAATCGGAAATAATGCAGTCTGTGATGCTGAAGTTTCACATTATGTGCTAAATAAGTATTTGCTTCATGAACAAATGACTAAAGGAAGGACCCAAGGCCAGGCTTCACGTCACGCTGTCACTCTTCATGTACAGATCGAATGAAATACTTTACAAATGGAAAGCACGGGCTAGGCTTTAGACGCATACCTGAAAAGGGTCTGCACGTTCACAATGGTTTTGGCATCTGCCATGTAGTCTTCCTCAGCACTCATGGTGCTCTCCTTGTCCACAACCACCATGTTGGCAGCAAAGGTCACGCCACACCTGAGCAAATCATCTAGGCTTTGATAAAAATCCACAAGAAAAAAAAAAGAATACAATTTTAAATAAATCACAATACTATGACCACAGTTCATATTTGCTTATAGTTAGGTTTATGCATATTGTATTTGTAGATGAATTTAGCAAGAACACAGACAGACATTAAGGAGAATGATAAGGTATTATAATCTGGCGATATGCAAAATTCAGAATTCTGCAGATACCAACTGTTTCAAAGCACCCATATTTGGAATCGGTTTTTAGGAACACTTACTATATAAACAGTAAAATAGAAAGAATGGTAATGATAATTCATTATTACAGTTAATGTACTACTTCAAGGACACAATATTACAATTGGTTAAAGATTCTAAAAAGCTTTTTGTGAAAGTATAAGAGGGGTAAAGACTATGCTAATTCAGATAGCAAAGTTAATGTAGAAGTATAAAGGTATGTAATAAGTATTTTTAAATGTCTATATTTATTTATGTAAAATCTATATACTACAGATTCTTCCTACACTACAAAGAGAGTAGGATATATGTAGATGTATACCTACTTGTGATAAATCCTACCATAAAGCTAGAACAACTTTTTATCAAGGGACTGAATGGCCCAAGTTTTTTCGTCTGCCTGAGGTGACTAGAAAAACTAGGGTTCGACCACTTATTACCTATTCTAGTCAGTTTTCCCTCCTGTCCCTGTAAAATATCTTTACTAGCATTTATCTTAAAATTAGAGAAAAGGATGTTTACCATTGAGGCTGAAACAGGGACACTGTTTCACTGTCTTTACTGTATACAGACTTTAAAAAAATAATGCCAGGACAAAATCGAGTGGGACTATATTGACCCTGTACAGAATGTAGTAGTTACAAGATTCAGTGAAGACAGATAAGAAGAAAATTAGTCCAGACCTCCTGATTCAAAATAGCAACAATAAATTGTACACAACTACAGTTGCTACCAATAGTTACTGAAGTTTGTTTGTAGAAATTTCTTTAAAGCAGATGGTTGGTTTATAAAGCCATGTACCTCAGTGGCATTCCCGAGGCCTAAGCCTAAGACCTCCAGAGATAATTCAGGTGTGTGGCAGGCCGGGCAGAAGGGATGAGGGAGAACAGCGGGAGAGACAAATACTGTGTTTAAATTTGGAGCTATTTTCTGTGACAGAGACTTTATAGCTAAAACTGTGAAAACAGAATTTCATTCCAAATAAATTCACCACGAGAAAAGAGCCCAGAAACATAACATCCAATCAACACAATCTTCTTCAAGATTAAATCCCTAATATAATAGGTCAACTTTAAGTGTAGGAGATTCATTGTACTTATTATTGCATCATAAAAGTATATTATAGAAAGCATCTTGCAGCAACTGGGCATTTAGGCCAGTGCTAACAAGCTTGTCAGCATTTGTAACTCCTTGGTTTAAGAGCCCTTGGTCACTGGAAAAAGCTGTTGCCCCTTGTGGAGTGTAAGACGATGACTAAGTCATCTTGCTCCTAGTATCTAGTGATTTCAACGTATTTCCTAATATTTCAGCCTTCCAGAGATTTTTCACCATCAAAATTCTCGATTAGAATTTTATAGGAAAAGGGAATATAGATTTGTAAAAAGTCAGCTTTTATGAGTCAAAGAATAAGTAATTTCACAAAACTGATGGGAATGTTGAACCCAAATTTTTTTTAAGTGGGATTGTTCTAAGTTTCTTAATTCTACATGCTCTCGGGTGTATCTGTTGATTCCATCCTTAAAGCGTTTCCTGTGAATTATCACTAAATTATGTGCTAGAATTCAGAGAAAATACAAATGATTGAGATGTTATTGGTGAAACATTTGGAACTGCTAAGCTATTCAAGCTTAGGTTTTCTAATTGACACCCTAGCTTTTTTGAGTAGGCTATGAACGTATTTTCATGACTCTGGGCTATCTTTCCTCTCCCTGCTACTGCTCCACTGTGTATCATTTTAAAGCATAGTTGCTTTACAAAGTTCAGCCACCAGATGGCAGCCAAGGAAAAGCAATCCAAGAGAAATAGGCCTTAAAGATACTCAAACCAGTGTTCCCTTTTTTGCCCTTCCTTGACTCAGTTTTTCTAAGGACTAGAATGTGAAACTTGCAAGTATGAGGAAGTATTCTGGTTCCAAATAGGTTTTATATTGCATGGAAATTTCAAATAACACAAACAAGAATTATACATGGATACTTCATATATAATTCCCTCTGTAATATATACACGTGCATATATAGATATGGTGACCCACCTTAAATACTTACTAGTCTACAATAAATCAATCTTGGTTCATCTCCCCCTTAGGAGCTTATATCCTAAAAGTTTCCTTTTTTATTAGCATAAATACTTTACAATAGTATTTCATGTAATTTATCTGGTGATAATTTACATTTTCTCAATAATGGTGTCAGAATAGTGTTTATTTATGTTTTATGTTACTGCATTACATAATTACACGCATTACATAATTTCAATTGAGAAATTATATTATTATGAATTATGAAATACGCTTGAATAAGTTATCAAGCTATTTTTACTGTTTTTATTTCAAGTGATTGTAATAGTCTCAGTGCATTGAAATGTGGAATTTTCAAAGCATTTTTTAATGCCTTTAGCAATAATATTACTGCAAAAAGTGCTCCTTTTGCAAGAGGCATAAGACTGAAAGAGCTCTTCAAATGGTGTGCACCTGACCAGCTTTACATGCAGCAATGTCTGTTGCAATTCAGCAACGAATTACGGCTTAGACAATATGATAGAGGACGCAGAACACGGGCATGAGCTCTGCAAGCATGGGTCACCATATTTACTGGATCAACACGACAAAGTACACTCATCATGCAGGACCAAGACACAGCACTTGACAGACCACAGGGCACTACACTACTCATGTGCCGTAGACATTGTCACCTACTTGTCAATAGAGCCCACCATGTAGTAAACCATTGGAAACCAACAGATTGCATCCAGAAAATGCATATCTGGCCTATGTAGCAGATGGGTTACAAAATGAAACACAGTGTCACAACAGAGGCAGCACTTCTAGGAAAGGGAAGCAAGTTCATTTAGTTTGCATTTCCAAAACCAAACACAAGGCACATCCTAAACTGCTATCTTGCTAAAGAATATCATTTGCACTTCTTATGAACCAAAAATACACAAAGAAATGTGAAGTATAAATCAGAAACATTATGGCATAATTCTACAAAATCCTCCATGATTATTCTTAGTTAGTACTTAATGTTCATCGCTTAGCTCTGTTACCCAATGTAGAAGAGGATTTGAAAATGAAGAGCAAATGGTTTTGTTTTCTTAGATGACCTCAAGCACTACAAATGCCTCTAAGGAGTAATTGGTAAGCTTGAGAATCAAAAGAGCTTTGTCAAAGGAATGTATATAATCACAGTATGCTTCATATCTCAGTGTGTCAGGTGTAAGGTTCGTACATGCATGGAAAACTCTGTTATATAAAGTTACATTGACATTTACCCAATGTATTGTTTGACAAATGTTCATTAAGCCAAAATTTTTATTTATAAGATCAGCAAAGGAACGAATGATAATGTTTAAATGTTCTTAGAAATCACCTCATAAGCTATATCCACTTAATAACTTTTAGTTTATAATATTCAGCATATATAGATTCCAACTTTATCAATGAGCAATAAAATTTATTCTTTTATATTTAAAAAATTGCAGCTGATTAATTTATACGATATGTAGAATTTTAACTACATATAAAAAATCATGAAAACACAATATGTTTCATTCTTTAAAAAGACAGGTGGCAGAACTGGAGAATATTACAGAGAGGTAATGTTTACTTTGGGTTTTGAAAACTGAGTAGGGATTTAGCAAGTACAACAGAGTAGGAAAATTCCAGGTCAAGGTAATGAGAGAGTATTTGCTATTTCCCAGATACTGATCCGCAGTTTGATCAATTCTTGTCCTATCTGTTTACTTCCTGCTGTTGTCCCTCCTATTTCCTTAAACAATAAAGAAAAAGAAAGTACAATATAGTAATGTATTAACAAAACCTTCCAAATGATGATACTATTAAAATTTTGTCTGAATTTCTCCCTCCAGTGAATTTATTTGCAATATTGAATGAACCAGTAATTTTACTTTGTCTTAATCTACATAATTCAGTTTTGAAAATATTGAATTATTTAATTGATAAATCATATTCATGTCTGTAGTCATTTCTAGCTTAATTTCCATATAGCATGTTATGCACACCTTTGATCACTTTTGGGCATCATGAGTTTTGTCAAGATCCCAAGCATTCACAGAGTAAATATTATTGTCAGTCTTAAATCATCCTTAAAGCTCTTGATTTATGATGACTTGAATCAGTACTCTAACACATCATTTGTGGGATTTAGGATAGAGATTTCAATTCTATTTGTAGACTTTGTTGCTTCTCAAATAGGAAGGCAATGTTTGGGGGCTCTTGATAAACTTCATAATTTTAGAAACATATGTAAGGATGCAAGCACTAAAAGTACTGAAAGATCAAGATGTTTAGGGTCTTAAAAATATTTTTGCTTGCATGTTTTGGGATAATTTTACATCACTAGCTTCTTTGTTTCTGTTTTTTAAGTGCCATTCTTAATTAGTAATTGTAGATATGTACATGTATTATAATAACATCTATTTTAATCTGCCATATTCATTTAGTTTAAGATCATTTCAATTCTTTATACTATCTCTCTGTACAAATTTTCCCACTGAGTCTCCAATCTATGTGTTTATGAGATATTGAATAATAGATCATTGAATTAAACATGAGACTTAAATTTTTCTGAGAAATAAAGTGTACTCAGGAATTAAGCTATGGCTGCCATCATGTGGGAAAAAAAATCAAGATGAGATCTTCATGGATTTTTTTTCATCCTTTGATTGAAGAGATGACAAACTTTAAATAAGTGAAAAAAAGGTGTTTTTAAAGAAAACTCATCAATGTATTTACAACATGTATTTAAATAAACCAGAAATCTTCCAAATTGTTCAAACTTGATTTAAAACTATGTATCTTCATGTGGTTTCAGCTACCACAAGGGAAAATCAAATACCCTAAACTTTGTAAATACATATTTTTGATGAAAGACACTAACTTTTAAAACTCCTGTATAAAGTAAAAAAAGTAGAAATATAAAGAATACAATTTTGCCTTCATATATTTTGTAACTGCTCATTTTTCTGAGTTGACAACAGTATCTACAACACCAAACTACTTAATAATTTAATTTTCCTACTCATTGGGAGACAGGGAATTAGCAAACATAATCTTACATTGAGAAACATTAATATTGAGAAACTAAACAAACACATAGAACATTCATTGCAGATATGTTCCTTGTCTCTATTTTATATCATGTTTCAAAAGTACAATGAAAATTTTAATATACAAGAAAATTATTAATAGAAGAGAATAAAATGCATGATTTTCTTTCTGGTTGCCTAACATAGAAGCCTATCTTATCTATTAATTGGGACATGAAAGAATCATGGTAAAAAAAAAGAAATCTGGTGAAAAGGATCAGATGATTTATCTATATATTTTATAAAAACATATAAAAGTGTAGAACTTATTTATACAAAATAGATAAATCACTTCTGACACACAAAGAAATATTTTAGTTTTTTTAATCTAAGAGACAATGATAAATATGCCAATTGATGTATATCAGAATAAATTCATAGGCCAATGTAAAAAAGTAAAATTACCAGTTATAAATAAAATAAAGTGACAGAAATATACAAAGCAATCAATGTTAATAAGTGGAAGTATAAAAGTACACTTGGTAATCACAGCTCTCTCTGTAGAGTCTACTAAGAACACTGACTGTGAATACAAAGATTTATATCTTCATAAATCTCTCACAATGACACTGTATATTAAAACACAAAGTAGCTCAAAATTGCCAGACAGTGAAAAGGGTCATAAATTTTACAGATTTGCAAAACTCAAGAGCAAGTTTTCTATCCAATTAAATTAATACACAATATTTCTGCTTCAACTCTAAGGGAAAAAATTAATATATTTTTATGAGCAAAGCTTATCTCATCAATATTTTACAAGTATACTTTTAGGTAGTTGATTTATTTATTAAAATTGTTTGATCAGGGGCTGTAGAGATGCCTCAGCATTTAAGAATACTATCTGCTCTAGCAGAGCATCTGAATGACTCCCAGCACCCACAGGGCAGATCAAAACTCTATATCTTTAGTTGCAGGGAATCAAACCCCCTCTTCCTTGCTTTGTAGACAAAGCAAGTCTACAAAGTCAGACACAGTCAGACAAGTGTTGCACAGGATGTGCATGTAGGCAAAGTACCCATATACCTATAATTTTTTAAAAAAAAACATTAAGAGGTTAAGCTTAGTTGCAAATCCTTAAAATCAATGAGCACATGTGTGTGAATGTGCATGCGTGTGTGTTTTAGTGTTCAAGGCTAGGGTCTCTCATATGCTAGGCACACATTCATTCACTGAAACATGTCTCCAGGCTGTGTTTTCTTGTCCACTGGGTTTATATAAGACTTTTCTTTAACTTAAATAGTAACAATATCAAACTTTTTAATAGGAGAAGAAAATCTAGCATTTCTGGGCTGTCACATAAATGAGATCTTGCCTTAGTATGCTACATATATTATCTAAGTCTAGGAATAACTTAAACTTCTTACCATTTACAAACTAAAGAAAAAAGGAGGTGAGGCACAAGGATAAATATCATCCAGGCTGCTCTAGAGGTTAAGCTTAGATCTCATTTTGTCTGCCTCAAACAAACGTGTTTATTTCTATAGGACAGGGGTGGGTATTTATCATGTATTTTTAGCAGTTATTTACAAATAAGCTGAAGTGTTTAGGTATTATACGCAAAAAGGTGGATTTATGTAAAAAATGATCAGTGTAAAAATTAATGACATTAGCATGGACCTCATTAATTTTTGTTTGTTCCTTTGTTTTTGTTTTTCAAGACAGGGTTTCTTTGTGTAGCCCTGGCTGTTCTGGATCTCACTCTGTAGACCAGACTTGCCATGAACTCACAAAAATCCATCTGTGTCTGTCTTTTGAGTACTGGGATGATTAAAGACGTGTCACCATGGCCTGGATACCCCCATACCATTCTGAACTTGCCCCAACTCCTGCTTTCTGGCACATTTTTGTCTAACTTTGTTTAATATATTCCAGCTTTTATTGTCAGCTAAATTTCAGCTGGGTGACCTTTAAGGTAGTGTCTATAATAAAAATATTTGAAGTCTCTCTAGAACAGAACACCGAGGAGAACAGATGGTGACCCAATCAGAACTGACATCACTCTGATGAACTGTGGACAGATCAGCATTGCTCTGATGAGGTACAGAAAAGATGTTTTCAATACACCAGGCTTGATAAACACTGAAATGTGTAAGTCTTTTTGTTTGGAAATCTTCTGAAGTTCTATTTTATACTGTTATGTGTTTTAAGTATTAACTGGATTTACATTTTAATACTTCATATTTATGACACATCTGTTTTTATATGGAATTAATTTTGTCTTTTTGATTAATTTATCTCCACAGCCATTCACTTAATATTTTCTTCACCACTGCTCATTTAAACTTTGTCAAAATCTCAAAATTAAGTAATGCTTGCCAAAGTAGGGAGGGTCATAATTATAAAAGTTATTGAATATGGATCTATTTTAAGGAGAATAACATCATTTTATATAATTTTGTAAACAAATTGCAGAACAGAAGCCATTTCAGAACAACAGGTGTTTCATTGTTTCAAAAGGGGGGAGAAGATTGCATAGGACTCCCGGGAGCATTAGAGTTCAAGTTCTGATTCCTCATTCTTCATCAAAGGAACTGAAGATAAGTAAAAATGTTAGATGTCACTTTTGAGACATACATAGGAAGCTGAATGTTTTATAACATGTCCTTGGATTTCAGCAAATAAACTGAAACAATTATAATACAAAGTGTATGGTAATAAAACCCCTTTAAACTTAAGTATAATTATGCTTAGGAGAAATCAGCAAACAACAGCACCATGTTGAAATTAATAATCTAAACCATCCACAATTGGTAAGGGTGATATATCTTCAATGGGTAAATATTGGAATTTAAGCTAGATTGTTGTCTATAAAACTAACTGAAAACAATACATATTGTCTGTACACTTGTAATAAAATTTTACCTTAGGTAAGATACAAAGGAAAGAACAATGAATTAGTCGTTGCATAGCTGGACCTAATTCTAAAATTGACCTTGGGGACATTATCTGGATGTCATTACATCTTTAGCTCTGCTTCATATCATCCGTAACAAAAGTTTATTCAAATATTAGCATTAAGACTGCTAACTCCCTGAGTACATTTCTCTGGAGCCATGATTTCTATATAATATGAATACATAAAATATAAAATAAAATACAAATATAAAATATGATGATTTGCAATAAATATTTAACATTCACTATTATTATAATCATATACATGGAAAGTACACCAACTTTTGAAATTGATCTTCATAGTTTAATTCAATTAAGAGAATACTGAAAGGCAATATATACACAGAAATAGTAACCTTAAAGAGAAATAGTGGCCTGTCAATAATCCAGAAAATGGAGCTTTCAGACATTTTGTGTGACCAATAACATTCAGAAAATAGGGCTATATACAAAGAATCACAGAACTATATAATCCTATTGAATGAACCAATACTCCAGGATTCAGAAATAATAGTAACTTTTTTTCAAAATATGACAAATAAATTTTGAATGGAATGGCTTGAACCATGTTTGATATGATAATGAGGTAAAGGGGAATAAATGCATGAGTTAAGACTACTTTATAAAAATGGAGACTAAAACTGAGGAGTATACTTCTATTTCATAAGTAAGACATCAATAAAAGATAAAATGAGTATATTTAGAGGTGGTTAGTGAAAAGTTCCATATCAGGAACTAAAATTTAATATTGAAATAATGTGAGGAAGAGGACAGACCGGTCCAGCTTGAGAACTATCAGAGGATGTTCTGAACACAGTACACTTCTTTCTTTTGATGGTCTTCCTTCTATATTTTTATAATTTGGGGCTTTAACTGAGTTAAAGTATGAGGATACCACAGTAGTCTGTGATGACCATCTTTCATATTGTTTGTCGCATTATAAGGGCATCCCATAGAAAACCAGCTCCAAACTAAATATTTTACTTAGTTAACTGAAGTGTCTACAGTAATAACTTGGCTGCCCTGCAGCTTCTTCCCAGAGAGCCTCCAGAATTCAGAGTGTATCGAAAAAACTGGGAAGGAGCTTGGCAATCCTTCCATTGTTGTGGCCATACTACACACTGATTGTCAAGCTCCTGGCGTTTGCTTTCATATGCTTAAATATCTTGTAACACTGTGCTCATGACAACCAATTTGTTTACACTTACAGTGAAAAGAAGTACAACTTTAAAATAAAATCATTTTGACCATTTCATTCAGGGATCTATGTATTCATCTGTAGGATTTTCTAAATGTTTAAGTAGTCGTATTTTAAAAAATAATCCAATCAAAAAGTTTCCAAATATACAGAGGTGATGCAGCACAACATGCATTTTTTGTTTATCATATGTGAACATTATCATAAGTAAAATACACAATGACATCCCAAGCTATAACATATAAATGTAGATCAATAAATGCTTTTCTGATAATTTATGGTTAAAGAACAAAACTGTAAAATTTTGGCAGGTGTCTTCCATGCCTGTTGATTAAATTGAAGAAATTTGCAAAAGGTATTTCAGTGACTACTTTCCACTGGTAAATGACCATTTGCATATTAATTTCAAATAAAAGTCTCCAACTCAATGATATTTAACTAATATTGGTGAAGCATCACCATAATCAATAATGTTTTCCATCATAGCATATACTATATCTCCCAATGAATTCTGTACCATAATGTATCTGATTTAAAGTAGTATCAGTAAATTTAAGCAAATTATTTTAATGTACAGTAAAATTAAAATCTCTGTCTGTGTATCTTAAAATATACTTACGGGTTATCCAATAGCAGAACTATGGGATTTAATTCTTTCTTTGGTCTATAATATGCCCTGAGAGGTACAATAAAATTATATAATCCATTTCCAGCTGTTTCAGCTGCAACTATAATTAGTTTATTTTTGAATCCATAGGCTTTTGCGTCCTCATAGTAGTTATGCTGGCAACTCTAGGGAAGAAAAATTATACAAAGAAATGCCATTTTTACACTCCACTAAAATTTGGTCAAATAATTTAGGATATATGGTTATGTAAAATTTATCTATCTAGTTTTCAATCAGATTGGAGCATAGTTACATTTGTCATTACCAGTTCTCCAGCTTGATGTGGGAAAAAAGTGATAATAGTGAGAAGGAGAGGTAGGATACAATTGATGCCGAAATTGGACGATGTGTGTACTGCTAGCACTGCAAGCTAAACGTACTTTCAGTACAGTCACTCAGCATCTATTTTGATACAGCATTGACATGTGACTTCCTTTGGAAAATACCTTGATGCTAAAAAGCCCCAGGGATATTACCATTACTAGGAACTTAAAGTTATGCAATAAAAAGAAAATAATGCAGAAAAACTAGAAAAGATAAAAACCGAACTGTTTAAGTCCATACCCGGGTTAAAGCGTAAAAAGCAATACATACAAAACAAAGCACAACATTTGATCAGAACTCACTACAGAGCTGAAGTGAACACGAAATTGTTAGAAAACTAGTTTGATTTCTGAGAGATTAGACTCAGAAGAAATTAATTAACATTACTAAATCAAGACAATTTTCAAACTAAATTATCTGTGTATTAACGAACTTATTAGAGTTTTTCTTCACCGTTATAATGTCTCTACATAAACTTTTTAATGTATTGGAGTCAGTATCATTTAGTTCTCTGTGCGTTCCTTACCTATGAAGTATCCATTTCATTAGTCTTTAATAAAATTGATTTTTATATGGTGGAAATAAAGCACCATGTGTGAATAAAATAAGAAAACAATTATATCTATAAAAACTACAGATTTTGATGCTACAAAAGTCACAAAATATTGTGGAATATGTTTAAAGAAATAAGAAAAAAGCACTTAAAGAATTAACAAAGTCCTACTTAATATTCAAAACAGTTGTTTAAATATATTATATTTATCTTTATATATTCTCTGAAGTTGAACAATATAATTCAAACGTTAATTCAGAGTTGAAGATACAGGTCAGTGGCAAATCAAATTCTTGTGTGAAACACCAAGCTCAATTTCCAATAGTGAAAAAAAATTAAATAACTTATTTAATGTAGTTGAAGAAATCAACTACAGAACAGAGAACAGAGATGAAATAGCAACCCAAACACAAAATACAAAGCAAAAATAAAAGCTACAAGCAGAAATAGAAATCACAGTAAGAAAGAAACCTTATTCAAATAAATATTGACTGAGAATTTTCTAGGAGTGAACAAGCCACAAAGCCTCAAAGAATCAGTGAATGCTAATCCTATGAATAAACAAAGTCACATATTTCCATACATTATTATGAAAACATAGTCCAGCCAAGACTATGGGATATTAAACATTCATGGAAGAAAAGTGATTAGCTACAAAAGATAACAATAAGAAAGATGGATATTTATGGTAGTCAGAAGGATAGAGGCATTGAAGAAAGAAGCTATTGTAAAGATAAACACCAAGCACACCATCCTTCCTGCATCCAACGCAAGACATAATGAAAAAATTTGTCAGCCAGCAAATCTCACTTGCAGAATTTCCAAAAACTGAAAATGAGGCTGTATGAAAATGATCTAGTAAGTAGAGGAGAAATATCTAAAGGAAGGGAATGGCAAAGAATAGAATCAACAAGTCTTCATAAACTGCAGGGCAGAGAAATTTATAGTTCCAGTATTCAGAATCTACAACCATATAAAGAAATAGATAAGGTCACCAAGAAAGGGGTTGAAGACTATTGATGAGTGAAGGCTTAGAAAGGTTAGAACTGCAAAACCCTTGAAATATCACAAGGTAAGAGAACTTTATGGCTTCTGAAGACATGAAAGGGACACCATCATTAAGAAAATCCAAGGAGACAATGTGAAGGTAGTGTTGAAACATGTTGGCACTGGTACAGAATGATAATGCCATCCCAAACCACCCACTTCACAGAGACAGTGGAGCCAACTGATTAATGCCAACCCATAATCCCAAAGTAAACTTCCATTTTCAGAGCAGACCCTATATACCAGTCTAATATTAATAAAACAGCAAAATAATCTGCGCTATAGCCATGAATCAATAATATATATTTTTCTTTATCAATGTAGCAGAAGGCTGTTAATATATTGCTTTTAAAGGTCCTCTACTGGGGCGATAATCTTCTTTTATGCGAGCTGAGTCTTACAGTGAGAATTAGATTTGTTGCTTGAAGATAATTCACTTTTACTCTCCTGGTTTCCCGATGCTTCCCCAGTCTCTATAACTATAATTATAACTATAACTATATCTCTATCTATCTATCTATCTATCTATCTATCTATCTATCTATCTATCTATCTATCTATCTATCTATTACCACAAAGTGAATTCAGGCATCATGGTACCTAAAATATATGTCAAGAATCTTCTTGAAGGAAAACATCAAAAGTGCTATATTTGAACATGACTTAGGAAACTGTAGCCATGGAAGAAGTCAATGCAGGTGAATATGACTAAAACATGACATCTTTTAATTTAGCAAAACACAACAGAGATGAACAGTAACAGCAAATGCTTCAAAAATAGAAGTTAAAAAAGAGGACATCAAAATACTAAGGCCCTGAGAAATAGAATTCCAAATGAAAATGGAGCTACATGGAATACTTATGAGAAAGAGAAAGAAGCACTGGCCAACTTGAGATAGATGACGTTTAGAGCTCACAGATATGCTTTCAGTCTTCTTCAAGAGTAGCAACAGACAACATTTGTAACTGAGAAAACAGTAAACATATAAACAAAATGAATTGAAACACAATTCAATAATTAACTATATTAAATTAAATTTAATGACTAACATAACCCTTCTAAGGACACCATAGCATTAAAATTACATTTATTTTACAGACAAGAAAGCTGCACGTCATTGTGGTTTTCTTAAGTTGTCCATAACATGAAAGGGTGCTGGAATTATAATTTTAACCCAAATAAAGAATAAATGAAGAAACTCCTGATTAGGAGTCAAGGCTTGCTTGCATCTCTTTAGGGTATGTAATGCTACACTTTAGCCTTTTCCTCATTACTCAGGAGGACAGAATCAAAGACAAAGACAAAAATGATCATATTCTCAGACTTCTGTTTAGAGTAAATTCTTTAAACCCTTCTGGCAGGAAGAGAGAACTATATGAAAAATGTGGGAATGAGATATGAGGCAAGATACGTATATCAGCTTCTACCTAGTCATAAATGGACTTATCTCATTTAGTCATGAGATTTTTTTAAAACATAGATTTAATATGCTAACAAACACAAATTGTAACTAAATAGTAACCAAAAGTAATTTAACAGTTTTAAGCCTCTGTCTTTCCTTTTTAAAAAAAATAACATAAGTTGGCTACGTAAGTAGATGAATAAAGTTGTGTGTGAGGATAAAAGAAAAGTTAACCATTTTATAATATCATGTTTATATGTAATGGACTTTATATGTTTTTAATATATATCATGTTTATAAGTAATACACTTTACCATATTTAAATTTTCAATAAAGTATTTTGGACAATTGTATTTATTTAAATGTGTTCAATAGCTTATGGTATAATTTTATTATTGGAGAGAATAGCAGCAACAAGTAACCATTACCTTGTCTAATCTTAAGCAGCAGAAGGGCACTTTTTCTTGAAGCAGGTGACAAAAAGTAGGTGAGCTTCCTATGTATGGAGAGTAAGGTGGGTAGCCCTTGGCATATCTGGAAAGCAATATGAGATGTTACTTTTGGAGAAGTCATGGAGAGATAGAACCCTCAGATATGACCCTGATCTTCTGCTTGATTATATTAGAATTAGAAATCTATGCTTCTATCTTATCATGAAAATCACATAATCTTCAAAATGTGAGGTAAATTATTATTAAATATGACTCAATATAAAGTTTTGTGACCTATATTTTTAAACAGTAGAGAAAGTATTTTCTGTCATGTAAAAAATATATGGTTTGAATTCTCCACTAATGATATCAGCATCAATGAACCACAGCCCTTGTTGGTTACTGAGATCAGCAGCAATGAACCACAGACATTGTTGTTCAATGAAACCAGCATCAGTGGACCACAGCCATTAACACTCATGTTGATCTAATAATGGGGTATTTGTGATTGATTCAGCTAGAGAAATGAGCAACTGCAACAAGAAATATAGATACATAATAGTCTTTTCCTTTTAGAAAGTATTTCTCAATCATCGTTCTTGAAGACATAAACATGTATCCATAACAAATAGCAATATTATGCCTTACAAAGACTGCATTATAATGTTTTGCTGTATCAATATTCATTAGCCATGCACACATAACTAAAGGAGAAAAAGTAAGTTAATTAGTGAAAAAACAGGGTTTGTCCTGGAATTGTTCTTAAAATATTATCAGAGACATTTAGTTTGTTTACTGACTTTTAAAATCAGCCACCTGCACATTTTGGCTGCACCAGTGTAGAACATGGAACTTCTAAAGGGCAGAAGCATAAAAGTTAATTAGCAAATAAAAAAAATTACTTGAAGCAACATTTTCTCATTCAAAAGGGAGGCTCTTGATTTTTGGTAACGTTTCCTGAGATATCATAAAGTTAAGGCCTTGTTGATAGTACTTTCTAGATGCTGGTTTTCTGCATATTAAATTGTGCACATTTTATAAATTTAGAAGCTGCAGTCATCACTGTTACTTTCATATCTCTATTTCTTATAAAACAGATCTTTTACCTCTCCATGAGCTAGAAATCTAAGAACAAATATTTCCTTCACAGTTTAAAACATTTCCTACAAGAATGGCTGCCAGCAGATATGGTTGCCTAGTCTGCTGGTTTCCCATCCTATATTCTTCAAATGTACTTGAGCATTTGGACCACAGAATACTTTGAGACAAGACTTTGTCTTTATATATACTGACATTGTATGAAACAAATAGAAAGTGTGGATGAATTTCAAGTTTATTTTTCTGAGTTTCAACGACAGCTCATTTTCAGTTCAATAAACCATGAAATGATTTTTTATGACCGCAACTGTGAGACTGAGACACGGTCAGCGATGACTGTCCTGATACCGCTAGTAGCAGTGATGGCACTTGTAATGACTAATGCCACTGGTTGCTAAGCATGAAACATTAAAGGAGCACTTTTATTCATCTTTTCCATTAGGCTTTATATAACACAAGGAGGTGGCAACAACCATTATTTACAAATAAATTGAAGTCAGACTGCTTATTTGCAAACACACATCATAAGGCAAAACTGGGATGGAATAAATCTTTTGAGATAACAGGTCAATACTGTAGACCACTGTTCTTTCAACTTTCCTATGGTAACATAATGCAGAGGATAGCACATTATAACATGTATGATAGGCTTAAATATGATGACTTCTATACAGGTAGATACTGTAATAGAATGGAAGGTTAATGAAGGATGAATACGTCTTTCATTTGTAAATTTAAACTATTTCTAGCTTCCAAATATTAAAGGAATTCTAAGTGGTGAAATGAGAAAACACTTCATGTTAATATGTCATTTGATAAACTTTTGAACTTAATGATGGCTAATCTTGCTTGTGAACTTGACAGATTTTAAAATCACTTGGAAAATATATTTATAGGTGATGACGATTCCAAAGAAATTTAACTGATATGACCAGACTCACTGTGAATGTAGGCAGTATTATCTCAGGGGCTGAGGTCCTACAGTTAACAAAAAGGAGAGTGTCAGTTGGGCACCAGCATTCCACCTATCTCTGCTCCTGAGTGCACATGTGACCAGCCATCTTTTGTCACCATGCCTTCTATGTCATGATCAAATGCAATCTCAAACTGTGACCCAAAATACACCTTTCTGTCCTTAAGGTTATTTTTGATTTTGTCACAAGAGTGAGCAAATCACTAATGCAAACTTCAAAATAGATGTGAATAAAAGAAATTAAACATAGAAGTGCAGTAGAATGAAATACAACTTTGAAAATGTAACTTATATTACATGCAAACAAAACTGTATATTTTTACATTAAGTTAAAGATAATTTAGAAAAAATAGGGCTGGAAATATACATTGAAGGCAGAAATTGATGTTTTTATAACACTCTGTGGTGAGAAAATGCTTAATAGAAAACTATTTTAGTAGAACTATAGAGCAATGATTCTGGATCATCCAGAAGAAAAAATATTGTTCCCTTCCATAATTTTAAAGTTCTGGAAGACTTAAGTTCAATCCCTTGATGAGAAACTATAGGCAATTAATGACATGAGTCTTCTCCAAGGATGAGCTATCTGATAGGTTCTTCAATCCAAAGTTGTCAACATTAAACACACGGATATATAATCAACACTAAATAGACACCACAGAATGCTTTCATATATACATGTTTATATATGTAAAAATAATTATTAATGAAGAAGTCATGACGTTGAGAGGGAGAGTAGGGATATAGTGAAGGAGATGGAAGGTGAAAGTTGAAATGGAAATGATGTGAATCTTGTATCCATGTAGGAGAGTCTCCAAAAATTAAACTAAAAATTAGCAAAAACAAAAGCTAACAAACAAAAACTTAGAAAATCAAACCTACTCTAAATTTGAAGAATTTTCTTCATCTGGTGTAGTTTCATCTTCTGATTGGTCACTTAAAAGATCACATGTTTGAATTGATGATGAATCTGCAACCTCTAAAACAGGAGCAATACTAGGTCTTCTTAATTCTTTGTTTCCTTCTGAAGGAAGAGCCAGGGTAGGGCCACTTGCTGTCCTACAACTTGTGTCTTGCAAGTCTATAGCCACAGTACCTAAAACAATAAAACAAACAAACAAATAATCCACTAGGACATTTCTATCACCTGAGTCATAATAATCAATTGGTGGTGAAAATTATCACATTATTATGAAATGTTATCACATTATTAGGATGGTTGTGTGTTTGTGTGTGTTTATGTGTGTGTGTGTGTGTGTGTGTCTGTCTGTCTACCTTCCTGTCTATTTATCTGTCTAAATTATAGCTATTGAAGCTCAAAACTTGATTCTTTTTCAGTTAAAAATTTCACTGGGTAAGAAATAGTGTATCCATAAATGTATATCACAACTTATATGTGGGGTCAATTAGACATAGTAACACAAACTTTTAATGTCAACAGTCAGATGGTGTATGCAGGTTGACTCTGTGAGTGCAAGGGTGGTCTTATCTGCCTACTGAGTTTCAAAGATACCCAATAAGACCCTGTATCAAAAAACTATTTGTTTCAGTTATAGTTTCAAGAGTTTCGACCTTGGATCCAAGTGTGGAAATACAAGAGGCAGAAAGGTCTTTAAGAGGTTTGGTCTCCTGTGAAGTCATTAAGAGAGATCCAGCACTGAGTCACTGAAGGGTTTCAGCAAAGATAATGGTGGTGGCTACTAAAACCACATCAGAGAGAGAGACAAAGAAAGAGAGAGAGAGAGAGAGAGAGAGAGAGAGAGAGAGAGAGAGAGAGAGAGA